GGCAACTATTTTTGTTGACCTTTGTCCATGGAAGGTCCCTGCAAAATTTCATTGCAATTGCTTCAGGGTTTTGGAGGAGAAGATTTTTGAAATTTTAGTCATTTCAACCCTTTTTGGCCCCGCCCCTCAGGCCCCTGGGGGCGTAGGACTTAACTGGCAACTATTTTTGTTGACCTTTGTCCATGGAAGGTCCCTGCAAAATTTCATTGCAATTGGTTCAGAGGTTTTGGAGAAGAAGATTTCTGAAATTTTAATCAATTTGACCCCTTTTGGCCCCGCCCCTCAGGCCCCTGGGGGCTTAGGACTAAACCGGCAACCATTTTTGTTGACCTTTGTCAATGGAAGGTCCCTGCAAAATTTCATTGAAATTGGTTCAGGGGTTTTGGAGAAGAAGTCGAAAATGTGAATTGTGACAAAAGGCGATCGCAATAGGTCACTTGAGACTTTGTCTCAGGTGACCTAAAAATTAGAATTATTGATTTTCTGTTTTGACTGCACAGCATCAATGTTGCATCTTGATATGGAACATCCATACCAAACATCAACATCTTAGTACAAATACTGAAGTGACATTGATGAATTTTAACATTTAAAACAAAACTAGCAAACAATGATGCTGGTTATCAAAAAAAGGCTAGAAGATATATGACTTACTGGTCAAAGAGGAATATTTACACACATGTAGATCATAAAGAACCTGATTTACCCCAATACATGTATACATGTAAAATAACAACACCCCACCCCCTTCCTTACAAAGTGAGGAGGCATACACATGTACATCAGTCATGTTGTTCATGTGTATGATTCTAAACAAATATAGGTGACTATACTCCTATAAAACTTCACAGATATGTTTATCACTTCATATACATGTGGAACGTATGTCACATAGCACCCTTGGGTCTGTACCCTAAATGTCAACTTCAATCAGGGGTCAGAGGTAAAATCTTTTGAAAAGTTTGCCTGGACTATACCTACTAAATTGCAGAACCTTTCCCTCACATTATATGTATACCAGACAACATGATGCCTAACTAATTAGGTATGTTGGCAGAACCTTTCCCTCACATTATATGTATACCAGACTGCATGATGCCTAACTAATTAGGTATGTTGGCAGAACCTTTCCTTCACATTATATGTATACCAGACTACATGATGCCTAACTAATTAGGTATGTTGGCAAAACTTTTCCTTCACATTACCATATGTATACCAGACTACATGATGCCTAACTAATTAGGTATGTTGGCAGAACCTTTCCTTCACATTATATGTATACCAGACTACATGATGCTTAACTAATTAGGTATGTTGGCAGAACCTTTCCCTCACATTATATGTATACCAGACTGCATGATGCCTAACTAATTCGGTATGTTGGCAGAACCTTTCCTTCACATTACCATATGTATACCAGACTGCATGATGCCTAACTAATTCGGTATGTTGGCAGAACCTTTTCTTTCACATTATATGTAAACCAGATAGCATGATGCCTAACTTATTAGGTATGTACCATGAAGATCAATACAATGAAGGTGTCAAAGATCAAATCATAACTATTGTCTGGACCATCTTCAAATACTGGTATATGTTTATCAGGCAGTTGGATGTGTCATGTAAACTCTTGGGATTGTATACCCTAAAGGTGAAGGCCAGGGTAAGAAGTTGAAGGTCAAATTATAATGGTTTTTCCAGCTGCAACTTCCAGTTTTCATATTTGGTATGAAACTCCACTAATGGGTGAATCATTCACAGAAAGAAAATACAGGTGTATTGTTTAAGTTTGTACCTAAAAGGTCATGGTAAACTCATCTAACTGTAAGATACATGTAGTAAGATGGAAAACGATGGACTAATAATCTAGAAAGGATATATGGACAAACTTCAAACAAACTGATTCCATTCCCATAGAAATTCATTTTAGGAGATCTATACAGTATATATGGAAACCCCATGTAATAACATGATATATACTATGCAGAGTCTTGGTTATAATTAGATTTATTATAATAATTATTAGATCACTTTACATTTTACATGAATCAAAAAACATGTATAATTCTAGTCGATACATTTCTCTGTATACGTTTAGAACCATTGAGCAGAGAGACTGTCTTTGATGTCATGTTTTGTGTTACGTTTTGACTGTGTCGCAATGGATGCCTCCCCTTTCTTCCTGATACGCCGGGCATGCAACTTATGATGCTGCTGTTTGAGCTGTCGTTTCATCTTCTCCTTGACCATCTGTGGATCCATGCAGGAGGTGTTACTTGACATGCTGAGGGAACTATGCTGCCGTGCGTTGGTCAAATGGGAGTTGGTATGTTCCATGCTTTCCTCATTTCTGAAAGGTTTGTAGGCCCTGTTAGCACCACTTAAATCCCCTATCAGTTCATTTTCCTCATCGCTTAACCCTTTATCTGATAATCTGTCCTTAGTATCACTGTCAAGTGTTGGCTCAGCTTTTGTTTCTATAACATTATCTGAGTCTGTTAGACGTTCCTCCTCACAGTTTGCACATGCTCCTGCTAACTGATCTGTTACATTGTCACTAGAAGTTGTTTTCTTATCCTGTGAAGGCTCTGTTTCCAGTTCCTGATCACTTCCCTCCTCCTCATCACTTGCATCTTCCTCATCTTCATCCTCGATTTCTTCTTTTCCATCTTCATCATCCCTTTCTTCTCCCTCCTCTGAAGACTCCGGTCCTTTAAGGATGTTCAGCTCTTCAGCAGCCTAAAAAGAAAGGAAATTACAGAATTCATATATCACATAAGCTTGTACTAAAATTGTAACAAAATTGAACAAAGCAAAGTATTGCAAGACAATCCATAGTCCCTCACCAATAAGGATTTTATTTTTGTTAAATATCTGCTATTGATTGAAAAGCTGTGTTCCCAGACCATAAAACAGTCATGAAATATTATTATGTACCTTTAACCTCAGGCTATGACTTAGCAAATAATACATGCATATGATAAGACATTGTCAAATGAATGGTAAGTATATGTATCAGATATCCTCACCTGCTAGAAGGTATGGTCTGAACTTGGTTTGGTGTATGTGAAAATTCCATATTTGAAGTATTTCAGAAATATTTGTTTCAAGCCACTTAACCCTCTTTAAATGCCCCATTTCAAGTTTTCAACGTCACTTGCAGGCATACTGCACTGATTGAACCATACACCGTACAGAGCTATACACCGTACGGAATGCTGCACTGATTGAACTATACGCCGTACGGAATGCTGCACTGATTGAACTATACACCGTACAGAATGCTGCACTGATTGAACTATACACTGTACAGAATGCTGCACTGATTGAACTCTACACTGTACGGAATGCTGCACTGATTGAACTATACACTGTACGGAATGCTGAACCAATTGAACTATACAAAATACAGAATGCTGCACTTATTGAACTATACACTGTACAGAATGCTGCACTTCTTGAACTATACACCGTACCGAATGCTGCACCGATTGAACTATACACCGTACAGAATGCTACACTGATTGAACTATACACCGTACAGAATGCTGCACCGATTGAACTATACACTGCACAGAACCCTGCACTTATTGAACTATACACTGTACAGAATGCTGCACCTATTGAACTATACACCGTACAGAATGCTGCACTGATTGAACTCTACACTGTACGGAATGCTGCACTGATTGAACTATACACTGTACAGAATGCTGCACTTCTTGAACTATACACTGTACAGAATGCTGCACCTTTTGAACTATACACTGCACAGAATGCTGCACTTCTTGAACTATACACTGTACAGAATGCTGCACTTCTTGAACTATACACCGTACGGAATGCTGCACCGATTGAACTATACACCGTACAGAATGCTGCACTGATTGAACTATACACCGTATGGAATGCTGCACCGATTGAACTATACACTGTACAGAATGCTGCACTGATTGAACTATACACCGTACAGAATGCTGCACCGATTGAACTATACACTGCACAGAATGCTGCACTTATTGAACTATACACTGTACAGAATGCTGCACTGATTGAACTTTACACTGTACAGAATGCTGCACCGATTGAACTATACACTGCACAGAATGCTGCACTTATTGAACTATACACCATACAGAATGCTGCACCTATTGAACTAAACACTGCACAGAATGCTGCACTTATTGAACTATACACTGTACAGAATGCTGCACCAATTGAACTTTACACTGTACAGAATGCTGCACCGATTGAACTATACACCATACAGAATGCTGCACTGATCTCACAGAGAGGAACTGCAGTAAGCAACACATACCTCATCAAATGTGCTGGCCATTTCCTTAGTAAAACCACTGGCTGACACCTCTACATCCAGGTTATCATCTCGTCTATAACACACAAATGTAATGATACAAGTTAGAAAATCTCTAGACACTAGTGAAGTTCTGTTCTGAAATGTTATGCATTTTTTTTTCAAAAATGAGAATTATTTCTAATAGTGATGAATTAAAAAATGGCTTAAGCTAAAAACAGCAACAGTAAAATTTATTGATGAAAGTTACATTCAATTGATCATAAGCTTACATTACAATTTATCAGCAGTACACACTACACAAACATAACACAGCAAGTATACACAAATACACACCTTATATCTGAAAACTTGGGGTAAAGTTCACTCTCATAGCGAAACCGTCTGACAAAGAATTCACGAATGCAGCGGACATCTCGGTTGAAATACCTATGGTAAAATAATATTAACAAACATTATCAAAAGAGAACCACAGTAGGGGAAAAAATTACATCACACAGATTAGTACTTGTAGTATTTATGACACTAGCATATTGATACATGGATATATGTACCAGTGACAAGGTGCTGCAATAATAGCTTCCTTTCTTCAAAAACTCTGTAGCAACTATAAGGAGTCTCCATTGGTTCACATTTTAATTCACCATGCATAAAAATATATTTTAAGAAGGATCCTTATTCTGTACAAAGAATTGTTAATGTAGATATATACTAACAACCTGGAAGCTATACTCCTGACAAACTTTGATATAAAATGAACAAAGTGCATTAACTCTGTTTAGAGTGGGACTGGCGACCTGATTTTAGTATGTGGCTTTCAGCCATCCACAGATGCAATATGTCAAGTAAGTTTGGTGAATAGTACAAAACAAGTGATATGGTAAGGAACTTATGCTCCAGATCAAATTTGGTATGAAAATTAAATAAAGGGTCATCCAGTAAAATACACAAACAAAAATTCCACAGGAGTTGATGTGTCACCTGCTCAGTGCTTTTAGTCAGAAAAATATTTTGGCTCTAGTTATCGCCTAAACAAGCAAAAATTAACAGCAAAAACGATGAACAGCCTTACGTAAAGTGTGATATGCCAAAACGCAGAAAGTTGAAACTTGACAGCAAAACCTGTAATATATGTTGAATATTATTGCTTCTAGCATAACCATACAAAATTTGAAAGGATTTGATTAAAAAAAAAAGTTCTTGCATTTATATATATTATAATTACTACACAATGCCCTTATTTGTCAATAAAAGGGGCATAACTCCACCAAAAATGCATGTAAACTTCTGAAATGAAAACTTGTCCGAGCTATATTGGTATGCAATATGTGTACCAAGTTTGAGTTCAAGGGAACTCAAGTTATCGCATGGAAACCTTGTTTCGGATGACGCAACCGACGATGACAACGACGACGCCAACAAAGTAATACCTATATATATGTCACCTCGCATTGCAGGCGACACAAAAATGTGCATAAAATTCTGAAATTTGAAGTCTTTCAAGCTAGGTATGGAATATTTGTAAAAAGTTTGAAGACACAAAAAAGTAGGAGAGCCATATCACAAAGAAAAATACCAATATACAACCTGTCATTGACGGGCCAGACATATAAATTGAGGGTGAAAATTGGTAAATCAATGCTTGAAATAGATTAGAATATATAAACTAAATCATAAATATGTCAGTATTGTTTTCAACAGTTAAGGGGTGAAAATTAACCTTGCCATTAAAGTTACTCCAGAAAACAAACTTTTATTTGTGTTTTATCACGACACTGGCTTGCAAAATACAGAAGACATTTGTAACTGTTTCTTTCAATTCAAGTCTCTTGACGTCGCTAGCACCGACACTACTCACCACTCAGCATTGAAGTGGGAAGTGGAGATCATCTGAGGAAAATCGTACATAGTCACTCCTCCATTGTCATCCACCATCAGATTGAACTCGTTGAAGTCGCCATGGATGACGCCACAGTTTCCCAATCTGACAATTAGTTCCATGCAGTCATTGTACACCTGGCCTGGGTCAGACAACTCGCGTACCTGGCACCTGTATGGTCACAAAGGTCATCGTGTTTAAAGGTCAGATATACAGCTTATGTAGAAAGGAGAACCTGTCGGTATATAGAAATAGAGCCATCAGGGGCATCATAAAACCCTTGAGCAATGTTTGTTGTTGAAACATTAATGATTTTCGATAGGAAGAGAATGAGCTTGTGAAATGATTGCTATTGCCTTAATAGATGGACATTTTTACCTTAAAGTTAGGTTCTGTACAAATTTATTTTTATAAAGAGTGACCTTAACCTTTGACAAACAACACTAGAAAATGCATACTAGTCTTATTTCTTCTAGGGCAACCAACACCGAAGTCTGAGCTTTGTGCGATAACTTTTCTGAAGTCCTTTGATGGACTATGCTCCAGATCAAGAATGGTCTTGGTCTTCTCTTTTAACTAGATCAACCCACATATAAGTCGGAGCTTTGTGTGATTCTATGTTCTGAAGGAAGGATCTGGACAAGAAGGTACTATTTCTAAATTAAGTAACAGCAATCCCGACCTTGGGACAAACAATGACCTAAACCAATAGGGTTCTTTCTCTTCCCAACTTTGTGCGATTATTTCTTCAGCAGCACCTAATATAAACAGGCAAATCATTCAGAGAAATTCTATTTCTCGTAACCGTGACCTTGAACCTTGACAGACAATGCCCCAAATCAATAATTGTCTTTCTCTATTCCACACCAACTCACACAGCAAGTCTGTGATTTATAGGATCATTTGTTCTGAAGATAGGGATTCTAATAAGAATATACTTCTCTTAGCAATTACCTAGATTTTTGACAGTTCATGCCCAAAATCATTAGAGTTCTTTTCCATTGGGCAACCATTGGCCAACATGCCAAGTTTGATACTTGAGGTAATGATAATGAAGTGAGTGAAGGCTCACATAGATATACCCGCTAAGTGTAGAAATTGATATTAACATACAATGGTGTGAAAATAAATAAAGTCTGTTGAGGGGTTAATGTAACATCTTGTACAAAACCAAACCGGTCAAGCGTAACAGTTGACTCTTCAACCTTGAACAACGACCTCCATAACGTAATTTGGGTGTAGAGGTAGAACTTGGTGTCATGACCATACTATACAATATATGGTGTAACTGTGAACTAAATCTGTCGAGGGAGCTCAGTAGATATCTTGTACTCCAGCCTTATACTACAGAACAACACATAGATCTATACAGATACACATGACACTGACAAACCAATTATTACAAACCAACTCCTCCCTCAACTAAACTGAGGTTTAATACATGATTAATGAGGCTTACAATAAGTTCACACAAAGTACAGTAGTAAACTGATCTTACAATGGGTGTCCACTCAGCAGCTCCATGATGACAGTGTGGCGGTTGAAGTCTACTGGCTTGGGAACAGGAAAATTTCTGTCATACAGCGCCTGCATACAATATTTGTAAGACATTTTACATACATTTTATCACAGCTGTAACGTTTGTTTTATAAAATCAAAATAACAATAACTTCTGATTGGATGATTCGAGTACACATCACCTACATACATGTACATGTACACATCACCTACATACATGTACACATCACCTACATACATGTACACGTACACATCACCTACATACATGTACACGTACACATCACCTACATACATGTACACGTACACATCACCTACATACATGTACACGTACACATCACCTACATACATGTACACGTACACATCACCTACATACATGTACACGTACACATCACCTACATACATGTACACGTACACATCACCTACATACATGTACACGTACACATCACCTACATACATGTACACGTACACATCACCTACATACATGTACACGTACACATCACCTACATACATGTACACGTACACATCACCTACATACATGTACACGTACACATCACCTACATACATGTACACGTACACATCACCTACATACATGTACACGTACACATCACCTACATACATGTACACGTACACATCACCTACATACATGTACACGTACACATCACCTACATACATGTACACGTACACATCACCTACATACATGTACACGTACACATCACCTACATACATGTACACGTACACATCACCTACATACATGTACACATCACCTACATACATGTACACATACACATCACCTACATACATGTACACGTACACATCATCTTCATACATGTACACGTACATACCTTCATATAAGCAAACTCCTTCATGGCAGCTAGCCTGGACAGATAGAGCCAAGAAGCATTCTTCCTGTGTTTGTGATAATCCCTTTTGTTCTTCAACTGTCGGAACGATGTGCGACCCAACCTAACAACGAGTAAAAAACACAATTAAACATCATACTGATATCTGCTTTATCAAATTAAAGAAAATGGTTAAACAATAGGAATTAATTTACATTTTCATCACCTCCATACTGCTTGTCATATATTACAGGATAGTTTAGAAATGTACATTAAAGTAACCATTTCACAATCTGTCGAGAAAACTGTGGTTAAAATAAATTTGTAACATTTTGTGAATATTATAAGTATATTGGTATGAAAAATATTTAAAATAAAATTCCAATTTATATTAATGTGAAAATTATAATTGTGCAAAGCCTTTTCCTGACTGTTACTTAGTTCACTGGGTGCAGTGTTGTAGCCATGTTTAAGTTATTATCATGCAAAAGCAAATTCCCAAGATGTCAGGAGAAAAGCTTCCAACGAGTGGTGACTATGTGTTTGACTGGGTCAGAGGTAGTGTTTACACAATAAATGTACTTTCATCTTTATAGACAAAGATCTATTATGATTCACTGGTAAGGAGAAAGTAAAATCCCAAACTGCGAAGTATCAAACCAAACTTTATTTCATATCGTCTAGTAGTGTTAACAAATACCTTAGCACTATACATCTCCAGATGATACACTTTTGTTACCGATTATGTAGTAGTTCGGTGTCAGTGAGTCTACAGTCATGTGCTATCAATCTATCATTTTGATGTACCTAAACATACCTGTGTAACTTCATTGCAAACTGGTGATCCTCCTCATCAGCTACAATGTAGATATCTAAAACACACACAATCAGATTTATAATCCATTTTTATGCAAGCTGCATATAGCTAGTACACATTTTACGTAGTTTTTCCCGATTTTCAGCCTCAAAAAGTACCTGCGCAAATTACACAGGTGCACAAATTACATGGGTTTTTACGGTAATCAATAAACCTATACTCAACCTATGTCCACTGTGGATCTACAATTGTACCTAAACTACAGTAGAACGTCATTAATCTAACTCAAACAAGACATCACAAACTATACAAATCCCATTGCATCCTTGCTTGTTTGAGATTTGTCATACATGAACCTTTAAACACTTTATGAAGTAAAAACGTTTTATAGATATTCTTTTGATGATGATTTTGCAAAATCAAAAAAAAATGACATTCTGTTTTAATAAAGATGGTATAAACATGTACAGAGTCACCACGAGCCTAACACAGCAGCACCCTGAAATAACCTTTCAGTTCAAGGTATTGTCATAAGCAATACTTGTCTTATGTTTTGTGGAAGTCACTACAGTATTGTTTTCCAAAACATTGACTCTGACCATGACCTTGACCTTGAATGCAGTGCCTTAAAATGCAAACTCATTTCTCTGTCAAGAAATGAAGTCACTAGAGTGATGACAATGCTTTTAAAAAAAATAGTAGTGTCCTTGTGCCTAGCACACTGAAGCACAAACTTAATACTGGTAGGTATGAAGTTTATTAAAATGAATATAAGCTAGAAATACGACAAAGGAGTCATCGTACAATAAAGCACTTACACACATTATTACAAGAATGCGGAGCACTATATCCCCTCTTACTCTGTTGGAAACTTGGTACCCAGATGCTAAAGTTCCGGAACTAAAGCAAAACTATTTTTCAGTGACATTTCTTTGTCTTTATACTAGAAATTCTGTTTTTCTAGGAAACAAAATTGTTGTACTCAGAACTGAATTAAGTTCTTCTGTAAATCATATAAAATGAACATGTATTAAATGCATATCAATAGAAATTTTAAAAAGAAACGAAACAAATAAATTTAAAAGTGTAATGTGATAAATGTATGTATTGGTTACCATAATGAATTTTTTTCTTTCCAAACAGTACCAGTATCATTTCCAGGTGTGTACAATTCCTTTTTCCAGTAGGACTAGTACCAGCTAGCCCACAGTTGGAATTTACACAATTCTACCAGCCCAAGCTACACTAAAACATTTCACTTACCCCGACATAAAACCTACTAGCCCTGGGTGTCAGACTTTTGGAAATGTACATCTCTGATTTCAATTTCAAAATTCACATACACTTTGCAGTGACTGAGCGAGTAAGCTGTACAGGTCAGCCAGTTGCCAACAACGTATCTGCAATAGATATCTATGGAATGAAAAATATAGTTACCCGACTCCTTGCCGACACCTATCTGGTTACCAACAAAGTGGATGACACCACGACTGGTTAAAGCCTTCAGAGCTAGGTAGTCATAACCACTATTGGTCAACCTGTAGCCATTCTCTGCAAATAGAACAAGTAAGTCCGATATCATTTGTGTGAAACAAAATTTGTGTCCTGGATTCATCTATTTTGGCTGTTATTCAACATGTGTTTAAATTACTCTGTCTATACCCAACCCCACAAAACTTGTTCTTGAGAAAATCTGCTGTCGGTCAATTCCAACAATTTCTTTTATGACTGATGGATTTTGTTAATAAAATGACACAAACTTTAAAAGGTGAACAAGAATCAATGCATGGCATTAAGATGCATTATTCTGTAATGCTGATTAAAATAATTCTTACAAAAATCACATTGAGTTAAAGGCCTGATATGATTTAACAAAAATGGTTATCTTTCAGCAAACACAAACCTTTTTTTCCTGCATGTTCGTAGCACACCAACTTGTGCTTCGCCAGCTCTTTCAGTACTTTGTGACACCCACCAGCGTGTAAATGTGCTATGGACGCCACAAGAGGTGATGGGACAATCTCATGGTTTTTCATGCCCATTTCAACCTAAAATGTGATGATCAAATTAAAGCAACGCAGAACATGATCAGGCTTCAAAAAGTGACCATTTTTATCTGCAGGTAAGCTTTGTCAGCATTATAAGCAAGCACCCAATACATTAAAATGAAAACTTCATTTTTGTTTAAAACTTTTGACATGAAAATATGTATGTTCTGGTGGTTTTTTTACAATAAACTGAGGTAACCTTATCCTATTTCTGTGTATTGATCTTTTAAAACAAGTTTCGTTAATGTACAGAAGTAGATAAAATAGACAGGATGTTATGCTTAAGACAAACTTTGATATCAAAAATTAATAAGGCAAGAATTCAGAATAGGACAATCATCTTTTATAAAATTAATCCTTCTGTAGACCTTGAGGACCTTGGCACCTTGAAACTGAAATCGGCCACTCTTATTTTCCATTTTGATAAAAACAATAATGCCCCTTTTTTTTGCTACTGTTACCAAAATGCAGGATTGTTGCCCATATGAGGGTAGTGCTAACCATGTAAGATCTAAGATCAAGTGGTGTTCAGGCTCAACTTCATGGCAAACATATTTTAGAAAGATGGGAGGTGGGAATTTAGTAAGTGTGGCCAGTTTGCATTTTAAATATAACAGTCACTTTCTACAAGTACATTTTTTTTTTCGCTTGATGGAATTTCTTTTTGGCCATACTTATGGAGCCCGCTTAAGCAACACACCAATCACACACATAATATATATATATATATATATATATATGTACACATGTAGTAGGAAAATTCAGGAATAGTGATAAAGAGAGTGCCTTCGCTGGGGCTCGACCCTGCAACCCTTGGCTCTCCAGCCTGATACCCTACCACAACAATGCTAGAGGTTTACACGGCACGATACTTTTGACAGCTAGGCGCCGCGTCGCAGTTGGCAAAATCATATCCGATAGAAAAAAGGCCAAACAGCTGCCTCTTATGTTATAGGAGTACCCGATACCCTACTGCTAAGCTTAAGGGAAATTCCCTACAGCTGAGTGACCCTTTTAAGGCAACCTAATCAATGCACATCTTTTACATACATACTCTTTCTGTCTTTCTCCATCAAATAGAAGAGTGAAAGATGTAGATCAAAGCTAATGTTCTTTTACTAATGTTGGTCGATCAATATACCCAGGTATACATGTATGCATGTACAATGTATACAGCCAGAGCACAGGGATTTGATACAAATGTCTGAAATACACATATGCTATACTGATATGGGTCACAGCACACATAAACATACTGAGGTGTTATTATATATTTCACTCAGATAATATTGTCTTTCACAATTACAATCTGATTGAAATCATCTGTTACATGGCTCCGCCTGAACATCTGAATGTGCCGCGGTCAGGGTCACGTTCAAGTGACCTTTAGATGAACCAATCAGAGGCGCGCTGGCAAAAGTTTGCCAGCGAATCGGAATATCATGGTTGATAGATAAATAGCGAGGGGTATCGAACAGATTAGTTTTCCGAAACAAATATGGCGGCGCAACTGACGTTTCTACGACGCCAAGGAAAACGTACCCATTGGGTAATAATTGCGTAGGCAACACCGCCATACAGTCTTTTTTCTCTAATAAAGCTTTGAATATCTTTTTCTGTTCGGGTTTCAGACGATCAATCTCGAATAACTTCAGAACTTTCGCATCATTCTCATCAATGTCCGACATATTTGTTACAACTCCGAGCGCCCTTTTTAAAGAGGGTCTCTGATTGGTCAAAATCTAATGAGTATTTATAAATATAAAGGTCACCTGAACGTGACCCTGACCGCGGCACACTCAGATGTTCAGGCGTAGTACGGAGTTAACGAAGCCAAGTAACATATGATTTTAATCAGATTGTCACAATTAGATGTTATTATTTTTTCACACTCATATATTATTGTCGTTCACACTTAGATGTTATTATTTTTCACACTAAGAAAGTGCTGTGATTTCAGACATTTGTGAACCCGTGGCCAGAGTTTACTCTCAGCAGATCTGGTCCCAACTCCTGATTTTTGACCTTTTGACAGATATCTAGCCAGATACATTTTGACAGATATTTAGCCAGATACATTTTGACAGATATTTAACCTGATACGTTTTGACAGATATTTAGCCTGATATATCCGTGCACTGAGATTAAGACGATACATGACAAACTGACATTGCACAAACAACTGCAACAGTAGTGTGACAGTGACAGTGAAACTGCAAGTTAATGTATGACATGGAGCCATGCAACAGACTACCAACACTAAACAAACCATAAATACTTACAGAAGTTAAAACTCTGAAGTCTTCTTTGGTTAAATATCTTAAAATAGTTACATTTAGTTTACCCATTTTATGTTTTTAAACTATCTGACAATTCATGCACGTGTTGGAAATGAACTCCTTCGGGAACCCTCGAGCGTGGTTAAAAAACAAGATGTACCACGAATAGATTTCCGCTTAAGCCACTGTTTCGTAAAAAAGGAAAGACTACTCGATAAAAGTTTAGGAAATTTGTTTTGTTTTAATTGTTTTAAATCCTAAATTATAGTTTTAGTGAAACAAACATCTAAATATTAACTTTAAATGTAGGTACACTATCTTTAGTCCTTTATTTTGTGTAATCTGATTCCTTTTTGAATTGGGTCAGTTGAAAGGTCACACATCTCTCCTGTTATGATCGTTTGACAGCTGATGCGTTCGCCTTCGAAGAGAGAGCTTCACAATGTACGGAGGAAGAATTTCTAACGAAAAGTAGACGGATTTAAACAAAATGGGAGGGTGTTGTACTGCTCAGGTAAACTTAATACTTTTATTTTGATAGTCGTCATTTGTTTATGTTTATATTCGATTGCCGCGTCATTTGAAAAGCTATTCCAAGGTGTGGCGGATTCCACATTGACTTGTGTACAATACACAGTGCCAACGTGCTTTTGATTTTACGATGTATTGTATGTTTGCTGGTGAATTAGACAATAAGCTGTTTGGTAGGTTATCGCTGTTTAGCAATAAAGCTATCCCACCAATACATATATTTGTTTTGTAAGTGATTAGACCCCACCGGATTACAATACAACCATTGGACACCCTCGGGCTCGACTTTCAATCAGAATGTCTCGAGAATTATGATTTGTATTTAGTTTGGTTGACCGCAACTTATTTATCTGTACTTTCACTTTCCTATATAAAAATCGGAAATTTTATTTCAGTATTGGATTATAGGCAACTTGGGGCTGAACAGCTTACATGTTTTTACTTTTTGTGTGTGTGTGTTTTACTGTTTAAAACTAGTGGGTAATTTTGTGACTTGTTTAATTGGTACAGTTGTTACGGCAGTAGCGGATCACTTTGCATATAATTGCTTCACACGATTTTTGCAAAACTGTTTTTAAAGACATCATATATTTTCAGAAAGTACATTTAATTACCTTTCCAGTGATACCAAAAGATCTTCATAAAATCAAATATACACAACGAAATAAGGAAAACAAGACCTACCGATTTGTCGGCTATGGCGGATTAATACCTTTAAAAAATCACTTTTGAGGTACTGCATGACTAATCTGTTCTAATGAGATAAGATTTGAAGGGGGAGAACTCTTACTTAAACGCAAAAATATTAAATATGTAAGATAGCATTTATCCTTAAATATACATAAATACTATGAGCTTTCATAATATTTATCAAAGGAAATATAATAAGTCAAATGACACGGTAGAAAAGTAGTGACTAACAGTCTTGGATCTTTATATCTGTATACTGTGAAGGCAGACAACATGCTGATTGATCAGAAGACATATAAAAAGTAGCTAAGATTGATTGACATTTGACCTTTATTGTTGGGGAGGGGTGAATGATAGTTGTAGAAGTAGATCGAGGGTTATACTATGACACCATTGCGTACTACTTGCAGAATCATGGAAGTCCTGTTTAAGTTGGAGGCACGGTAGTCTAGCGGGCTAGTGACCGAAGGGTTGCAGGTTCGAGTCACGGCACTGCGTTGTATCTCTAAAAGCAAGATACTTTACTCCGCTTGTTCCACTAGTCTACTCAGCTGTAAATAAGTATGTGGTTGGGCAGTGCTAGAATTGTTGAATGCTATAGCTAGCTGTGAGCGCCGAAATGGCAGCACCGACTGTATTCTCCCCCAGGGAGTTGAGAAAGATATTGGCTGGTTGCAAAGGCCCTATATAACCATGGATAATGATTTGTGAACTGCTTTGAGACGACCTACCAACTAGGTTGTGATAAAGCAGCATATAAGAACCTCAAATTGTTATTATTATCATGAACACTGGCTGACTGCTGGCAATATTCAATAACTGTGGCACAAATAATTATGTTCACAGTCACACTACTTAACTTTCATACCTAAAGAAAAATAACCCCTTTAACTTTAATTACCTTTTTGATAGAGAAACATGCATGCTCACAGAAAAGATAAACTTCTGATATGATTTGTTCATGTGTATGCCACAACTTCTCATCATATGCTTACCAAAATCAGGTGAATGTCACATGGTTATAGGTATATATAGATCTGGCTATTCTACAAGCACTGCCCAAACCTATATGTACCAGTTATTACAGGGTTCGAAAAAGACAACATAAATGTATTGATATTTAAGAAGATGTTGTCCAAAAGATATCCTTATCAACCTATATAGATTCTATATAATAGTTGTTTTTCAATGTAATTAGTTGTTCTCAGATTCAGTTGTTCATTCTTGTTCTGTTAGATGAAAAGAACAAAAAGCTTTGTGAATGAGTTTCTGTTTTAGTGAGTGAATGTTCATAGTGGTGAAAAAAGTTGAGTAGAAAAATCTTTAAGAAAATAATTGTAATATTTTCCTCAATACATTTCATTACTTCCGACTGTAAACGTGTCATAAAATTTATTGTATTCTATAAATACCAAAAATGGACAGGCGCCAATATATTTCATGGGCAAGTAATGGAGGTAATTAGGACACTGTGATTGATTAAGTTTTAATTGTAAAGGAAATGTTTGCAATCTAACTGTTCAGTTAAAATTAAAGACTAATTGTTGTGGTATAGTAGCAAGAGGATAATTGTAGTGTGAATTACATTCTATAGATTTTTCAAGCAGAAATCATTCCGTTGTGGGTTGCGATATGAATGAGGTGTTCACAACTTGCTGTTATTTTCAAGAAAAAAATGTGCTGTATTTTTTATTTTCTTCCTCAATTTAGCCTGTCCTCGTTTTCCAGCTTCTCTAATTATGAGCTACTACATTTGTGTGTTGGTGAAATCTCATGTTTTTGATCTCATGACACTGATTTTTTTTTATTATAGCTGAAATGCTGGTTTGGGCCAGCATCTTGTGGGCTCTGTTGCCAGAAATGTCCGCCTGTCACGGAGTCAACTGGAACCCGCATCATGTACTCAATCTACCTAGTGACAGGATTCATCATCGCCTGCCTCATGCTCTCCCCACAGATCCAGAACTTTGTCATTGATAATGTGAGTTGGGTTTATAATCGTCTTTTGATTAATAAATTGTCTGGTACTTTTCAATAGTTCTCAGTTAGCCTGTGCAAATGTAATATAATATATATACATTGTATAACAGTTACACTTATAAATACACAGGTATATATATGCTAATATAATCAAAGCCTATCTACAACTGCAAGTGGCCAGGACTATAGTTACAACTGTATACCTAACCTGCACAGCTAAAGGAATGTCTGTCTGTATTTCAGATGGTAGTACAGATTTAGTTTCAAAATTATCAAGTGAATTCTTGTAATATTCCATAACTTACAGTATAATGGGTTTATGAAGCGGAGCTTCAATGCTTTAATTTGGTTATTTTTGGTGGGTTGACATCAGACTAGATCGCCAAATTTAAACATTTCAATCTCCAATATCATATGTTCTGCTTCTCAATAACACTGATTTTGATGGACATTTTAAAATAGTGTGAAAAATTAATAAATGACATACAATTAATTAACTGGTTTAACAAGTATTTGACCAATTATGACCTTAATGTCATTGCCTCAATCTTAGCAAGTTTACATATACAGGTTAATGAGAAAAGGTATAATTAATAATTAGTGTAGGCCTGAGATCAGACACTGCTGCACATGCCAAAAGAGGATATAAAATGAGTGCCTTTGATTTTTTTCAGAATTACTTAACTTTTCATGTACTTTTTTGTCTTGAGAATCCGTTATTTCTTAGGGTTCCTCCATTACTGTAAGTTACATGATCATGAGCCAGTTACTTTTTATCAATCTATCATTTAAACAATCCTTGAATGAGTTGTAGGCTATAAGGTCCATCATCCACATGAATCGGTACCAATTCATTACATTGGCTGTGTAATCATTGATCATGTTTCTGTTATTTAGTACTACATGTGCAAAGTATAATGCAATAAATGTTAGCAACCAGAAGCCTGCTCTGACAAATGTTTCCAAATTTCTTTGCAAAATAAATGAAGTTACAAAACATTTTCACATATTTACAGTTCTTAAAATATATAATTTACATCAGAAAAAGTGTGTGTTTAATGCTGTACAGATTTACACATGCTACATATATTGTGTGTTTGATATACATATGACACACTGCTGTACATCACCAATATAGACATCCTCTATTTAGTACAATGACTATACTAAAAGTGGAACCTCTCACACATAAAACAATGGCTGTATTGTAAAACTGTACTTATGTCATAGCACAGGAAATGTAAGCTAATTATAACACTCGCCCCCTCATATTCAGGGAGAATAATTGCTGCTTTGTTAAACAGTCCATCCCCACCTTACTTCATGTGTAGTGACGGGTGTCAAATAGAAGGACAGAGCGACCTGTCAGGGCAGAAACCTGTATCAAAACATGGACTCGGAGGTTTTCAGTCTCCGTCCATTAAACATTCCATACTTCATTAATAAAAGACATTGAACTTGGTTCCACACTTTCTTCTGTCGGTAACCCTTGTGTTATCTCAAAACAAGGTAATTAATTTAGGGTATGTTGGATTTAGAAGCTTTAAAATGGATGTTTAGATGGCTAATATGCATGTACATGTATTGTGCATAAAAAATAATATTAGTTGGGATTTATTTGGCTGACAAGTTTTTACAGTTTAGCAAGGATGAAGACTCGCTAAAGAATATCTGAGCTGTTCTCCCCTAATAATTTACATATTCACTACCAATCACCCTTCAAACCCTGCAGTATCCATTCTCAGAGCAAAGTCCCAAACTGATGTACCCACCTAAAACTCATACAAGGGTTGGCGCTACCTTAATTTAATAAGTATTCATATGTATGTGTAGATCTTAAAGTTAATAAAATAAAACCTTTGATAACATAGATCTGTAAATACAATAGTAAGATATACATGTGTACATGCATGTATTTTAACATTATTGAATGAGAATATTTATTAGAGATAAATTTCGGAAATGAAATATGTGCGAACATATAAAGCAAACTGAAAACAATAAAGAATTTAGTAATGGATGTAATTTGGCTATATTCCCTGGTGTATACATATATGACACTACTTGAAAGGCCTACTACCACCCAATTATATGTAAATTTATCTATTTTAAAACGGACAAGTTTTGAATAATTGTTCTTTTGTTACTTGCTTTGTCACTATAAAACCAACCATTATCCAGTTTATAAATCATTCAGTCCTATATATGACCTATTTATGTTGATTGGCTGTTCAGAGCATATATCAATCAGTCAAGTCATGGTCTTGCAGTTATATTATATTTACTGTACTCTGCATCCTTATGAGGACTACAATGTAGTGATGGATTGTAATGAAGGTCATAGAGGTCAATCATCTATTTCATCTCAAATTGCTCTGTGACTGTGCAAAGCCAGGATAGTTAATTGGTAACCTATTTAAACCATTGATTTTTAAACAAATCAGCACCTGTATTAATCAGAGGAATTCAGACCTAGGGTTGTTGTGTATGATGGTACACAATGGGGCCTATATATACTTTATCATTAGTAATACATTATCACACTACCTCAGGTTAGATACCTAGTGGAAAATGATTGTTTTGAAAATGATATCATTATTTTATCAAAATACATCCTGTTGTATGAACCGAAACTGGTTTTATGGGCCTAACTTCATGAGGATGCAAGAATGAAGTGTTAGAATTTATAAAACTTTGGGCTAGCTATATCTCTGTCACGTGTCCTTATATTATCCATAAAGATAAACCTATGTATGCTTGTAAGTGGCAGGTTGACTGTTCGACTGTGAGCTGGATGTAATAAATACTGCACCCCCTGTCATATTGTTAAGGTGTGATATTGCTTATGTTTAGTGCCCAGGTGTGACAAAAATTGTACCTCTATACAGGTATATTCCCATTGAGGTCACAAAGTAACGTTAAAGGTTGAGAGACCCAGTAATCTGTATTGAATCTCCATCAAAGGAGAGTTCCAATTTGTTCAGCATAAAGAGTTATACACACTGAAGAAATATTTATTATAATTCAGTATAATTTCCTTTTTCACAATAGAACCTCAAATATGAGATTGGAACCCGGTGCCTTTTGATTATATATATAGTATAGGAAACTTATCCATTAGTAAAATCACTGAGAATAGTTTTAAAATGATCCACCCCTTTAAAAGCACTGCAGCCTATAATATATTTGTAGATGTATGAACTTATATGAAGATAGAGCAGAGTACACCTACTCTTGTTATGTAATGTATTTTGACCAGTCAAACTAAGGATAACCTGTCCTAGCGGCAGTATTGCATGTCTGTAACACATGTTTCCTTCAATGGACTGTCATGGTGAACCTTTTTAAGCACATATGCTAACTTGCTACTGAAATAAAAACATGGTCACAGCAGTATTGCAGCCGATACCTTGGGAATTTAAGATTATTTCGTGATCAATACTGACAGTAATGGCTTTTATTTTAAACTATGGGTCCAGTGTAACAACAGTTAGGCAATATGTAATCAATATGATAGGCTAACCAATAAAATAATTACATGCCATCACAGTATTTCTCTGGAGATCCATCCTTCACTCATAATTCCTCCGGGGGGAAATGGTACGGTGGAATGAAGATTTTGTCTGTACTGTCTCAAAAATTGAGTTACTAATCTGTGATCTATGGAATGAAAACTGTGATCTATGGAATTCAGATTTGTATGATGTTTGGGAACAGTTTGACCTAAAAGTCTTTAAAATTATAAGCATGATGGAAAGCAGCGCTAGATCTGATGTATTCAATGTTCCTGTCTGTTGAAGTTTAAACATGGACTCTGAGCATTTGAAGACCAGGGAGAAACACACTGTGTGTATATATAAATATATTAGTACGTGGCAACTTCCTCTGTTATTTGTGCCCATAATTTATATCAAAGGATTGGTATAGACTGGAAACATTATTTACAAATTACTTCAAGACTCCCTCACACCCATGGTTCCTGTTGGTTTCTGTAGTTTGGGTTTATAAGTTCTGCCATAATGCTACAAAAGAAAACCTGAATAATTAACTGATAGCATAAACATGTTACGAACATCAACTATGCGTTAATTTAAAATATAAAACAGTGAATTGTTAAAAAAATCTTTCCTGTTGGGTGAAAACTACTGGCAGTCAAAATCTCTTAGCAACAAGCCAGACACACCAAAATATAATTAATGGTTAGGTATCAGTGCATGTACATCGTTTATGCACATATATACAGTGATTTGAACATACAAGATATCTACATGTTATAAGTATTTACTGTACATATTTTTAGTTGTATAAAGTTATATAAACAATATTTACAATATTTATGGTTCTGTATATCCATGAGCAGAAGGGTAATTGCTCTTTGCAAGACAATTAAAACATGTTCATTGAAAAGAGCACTTTAGGGCTGGTCTGGTGATTCAAAATTCAGACTCAATGACAAGGACTGGAATAAAAATAAAATAAAATATCNGGGGGGGGGGGGGGGGGGGGGGTAGGGACTATAGGACTATAGGTTTTCACTCAGTCCATCCTTCCATCCAAGAAGTTTGTCTGGGACATATCTTCTATACGATTTCACCTAGAGTAACCAGATTTGGTGTACAATAACATCTTGGGTTGACAGAGTGCAGAGTGTAAGAATTAGGTCACTGTGACCAATGATTTGACCTTTGACCTCCACTTTTGAAAATGTTTGTCCGGGGCATATCTTCTATACTATTTCACCTAGAATAACCAGATTTGGTGTATAAGGACATCTTGGGATGACAGAGTGCACTGTAAGAATTAGGTCACTGTGACCTATGACTTGACCTTTGAACTTTGCTTTTGAAAATGTTTGTCCAGGGCATATCTACTATACTATTTCACCATGAGTATATCCAGATTTGGTGTACAAGGACATCTTGGGATGACGGAATGCAAAGAGTCGGTCACTATGACCTCACTTGACCTATGCTTCCTGACATTTAAGTGTACTGTTTTAAA